ATCAGCCCCAACCGGGTGAGCAGAGGCAAGAAAAGAAGCCACAGGTCCTCCAGACAGGCCGTTCAGAGCAGCTACAGAAACAGACGTTGGTCTTCTTGGTCCTTCAACAGTCAACAGGCTACGCTGTCAGGAAATCGCTAACATGAAGGTTAGTGCACAGTAACGTTTACAGTGTTCACTGAAACACAATGTACAGCTGAAGCTGATGGGAAATCCTTGAGTTTTATTAGAGAAACTTAATGTTTGACTTGAAGCTGCTGCCGCCCATATGGGGGGGGGGGGGGGTTGTCACGCCGTTTATGGAGGAGACACTCATCTGTTGTCTTTTATGTAAACTCTTTCAAATGTTTGGTGCCACTTTGTGACTGAGACATGGGGGGAGGGGGGGTGTTAGAGGACAGATGGAGTGACATACAGAAGTGTGTGTGTTTGGGAAATGTTTTCCATTAAACTTGTTACTACATACCAGTGCTTAATGTCTACTTGTTAATGTAAAAATGAATATTTAATTGCAACTTTCTATGTTAATGCAGTTTTTAGAATGATTATTACTATTCCTAATGCTAATGCAAAAAAAAAAAAAAATCCTGCTGTGGGCGGTGATGGAGGGAATATAAAACATGATTAGAACGATCAAAAGGACGATGCAGACGGAGGTGATGAGGTGTTAAGAGGACAAGTAAGCTTATTTTCAGTCTCATTTCCAGGCCCATCTTCCTTGTGGCTCTGAACACCCACGGCCTGTTGACAGCTGCAGTTGTTTGAGGTCCCACACACACCAGATAGTTTTTATAAAAATAATAACTAGAGAATCTACAGTATAGTGGTGTTTTCTTCTGACCATATTAAAGTCTAATATGTAGACGAGCACTGATGTGGTAGCCCTTCACTTTGACTCAAACTGCATGTTTTATGGGCAATACATAAAATATATTGTAATGAAAAAGTCATTCACAGACAAACGTGTGGATTGTTGCAGTATTGTTTCTGATATTTGGGGTTTGTTCCCCCCCGATGTCAGACTCCACATTGGTCCCAAGCAGAACCCAAAGATCAGTATCTCTGGCAGATCTAGAAAATATCAGCTGTGAATCGTTATTAGCAATGATCAGGTTTGTTGGTCCTGCTGATTCTGTGCCCAATCGGACACGTTTATTTATTTGAATGTTGATTAAATCTGTATCTGACACAGAGAAACAGCAGCTGCTGTGACATACTATGACAAACTGGATTTCTCACAAGCTACTTGATCCAAATAGTGAAGGTCATGATCAAAAATGTGACGTTTACAATCTTAAATCTGATCTGAATGAAAGTTTAACTGGAGACTGTGACGAGATCCTCGAGAGAGAAGACGTCTCACTCTGTTGGAGTTGTTGAATACCGATCTTTATTATCGGCTCAGGACATCACTCGATCGCCTACAGAACTTCAGCATCAGATATAAATATGAAAAGGTTGGCGTAGAGGGAGTGTCAGAGGGAATTACTTGAAGATTGCCAGCGTGTTTGACCGGAGTCTGTGCTGTCTCAGCTAATCAAGACGAACTGCGCTGACTCTTAAAGTTAAGCAAATTGAAGCAGTTTTGTTCGACTTTTCTGGCAGACTGCAGGAAACGGCTGCGTAAACAACTCACTGAGAGTCACATAAAGCATGGTTTGACTTGAAGACAGAAAAATTAATCACAGCTTGTTCTGACAGCAAATTGTATTGTTACCCAGATAAAGACCATTTCAAAAGCTTCTTTTGGAAATAAACAAACTGCAAGTGATGGATGTTCAGTAACAGCTCACACAACTGGTCTGTGTGACTCTGGTCACAACACATTGGTTTGTTACCTGAGCTACGATTTCTAACTGCATTTCTAACTGTGCATGAAAATCCCTTCATTAAGTTTCTCTACAAATCCTTTTACAAGTCACTTATAAAACCTTCCACCCTAAAACCCCGAGGCGTGCGTGGCAGACAGCTGGGTTGCAGTTGGATAAATGGTGTTGAATGTGATGGCGGTGACGCTGGCCAGGTGACCTGTGGCCAAAATGCACAGATGGCGTACTGTCACACACACACACACACACACACACACACACACACACACACACACAAACTAGGCATCTACCGAGCCCTCTGACTCCAGCCTGAAGCCTAAAACCAGGTCTGAACCCCCAAACAGCCTTTGAAGGTGTGATGACCTCACAATGCTGAGATGTCCTCACTACTATGCCATATAGACGTGTCTCACGCTTCAGCTGTGTCTGCAGACAGCAGCCATTCACACCCGCTGCATTAAAACATGAACTGCAGAGAAAAGCAAGTGCATCAAATGAAGGTAACAGACAAAAGAAGTGAAATCAGTGCCTGACATCAGCAAAAATGTGGTGATGAATCTAAATTCAGAGCTTTTCCTGTATCAAAGATGTTCGCTGAACATAATTAGGATTCAATGGACGGAAGAGAAAGAGCGTAGAGCCGTGGCCGTGGCTCGATGTTTAGCCACTACAGTGCTTCCCATGTCCCCTGCTTCAGTTCAGTGCGTTACTTTAGCATGTCAGCATCTGTCAAATGAAACTAAACACAAACTGAGGCTGATGGAGTGTCATTAGTTTTTCCAGTAACTGGTCATAAAGTACTTGGGAGAACTGAAAACCATGAATGCCAACCAGTCAAAGGATCCAGTTATGAGGACATCATCTGAGAACCATGAACGTCCAAAGTTTCACACCAGTCCAGGACGTATTGTTGAGATATTTCACAGATTACCTGCCAACCCTGCACAGCACGAGTAGATGAAATAAGTGTCTGACATTCCTACGTTTACAGCACTTTGAAACACTCAGAGGACCTACAGTTAATCAGTGAGAACAGCTAAAGATGCAGATGTTTCTGTTTTTGCTTCTCATCCTTTCAGCTCACTTCCAATCAGATGTGCTGCGTTGGCAGGAAAGTGAAGAACAATGCTGCCGAAGCATTAAACATCTTTCTTGTCACCGTCTCCGCTTGTTCTTTTTCCTTCACTTGTCTTTTCCTCTTTCTCACTTTCTCGACTGTTTAGAATTCACTTTGCTGTCCTGAGGCGTCAACGGGAGTTTTCATTTAGAGATACACAGTTGCATAATCCTGCAGCTGCAGCATCGAGCAGCAGGTGATCACTTCCAGCTGCCAGAGGCTCTAAAATTCATCTGAATGCATCTCTTCGCATCAGCGTCAAGTCAACGAGTTGCTCCAGCAGTGTACAGAGCTGAGGGCAAAATCCTCCCGACCGAGCTCATCAATATCCTCAAACTTGTTTCTCCAACACGGAGCCAGTCCCGAGACACACCAGAGGCAAGTTCATTCCCCAGCGTAGTACATGAGACTGAATGTAGGCTGGATATAAAAGCTGCAGCAGGAGTATTTTAAGAAGCTCCTGTGGACATTTTAATACTTTAAACACTATTATTTTAACAGCCAAACTTCAGGCTGAGGTGATAACTCTACACTTTAAAGGTAGACTATTTTAGTTTGCCTTACAGTGACTCTTCAATGTGCCTCCCTGTCCGCCATGCTAGCAGTGAGGGGACTGAAATATCTCTGCAACAAACCAGTGCAGAAGCTCATGGTCGTCAGAGGATGCAGGTAGCAGACAGGGGGTTTATCACAGCCTGTCGGCTCACGTCCAGCCAGGGATGCAACTCAAGATTATTGTTGTCCGTTGATCTGCTGATTATTTTTCCAACTAATGTAGCATAGCTGAGACAGAGCACCAAAGTCTGACTTCATCAGCTGTTTCATTAATGCTTCATAATTATTGGCTCATTCACAGCGGTGCCACTAGTGGCATCCAATCAGATTCCTGCAGGTGTGTAGTGCAGACATAACCTGACACGTCTGACTCACTCACGCCAAGGTTTCCAAGTGCTGCAGCTCCTTCCGCTGTCCCAAACCCATGTTCACAATGTTGATTTAACTAAGAGCTAATGTTAATCTGTTGCTTCTGGGATTTCAGACCTTAAACAGCAGAAAACCAAAGCTGTGTGCTGTATTTGCTGCAATGACTTGATATAAAAATAGATTGATTAGTGAAATAAAGTTTAAAGAGTTTCTCACATGTGGGGGAGACATGGTCGGTTTGTTTGTCTTTACTGACCAGAAGCTAAAAGCCCAATTTTAAATGACACAAAACAGATAAAAGAAGCCGATCAACACACCTGCAAAGTAAAATCTGCATAGTTTCTTGATGAATGATAGAAACAGTCTTCTGTAGACCATCAGATGTGTCAGCACCAGACTTCTCTGCAGGCTGTGAACGAAAACCTAAAAAATCCACGTCTGTCTATACGACTCTGTTGCTTTTATGTTCTGAGGATTTTAACCATCAAACAAACTAAATGAACGTCCTTTGCCTAACGGCGGCTACAAGGCTGGTTTTGGTTTGGGCGATCCACTGATACAGTTTGGAACAGAGATTTCTATCACATAATAGTAGAAATATTGATCCGTCAGGGTCACGTGCACTCCTCCCTACCACTTTTTATGGGCAGCATAAAACCCATTTAATGCACTGGAACAAATGTTGCCAGTGAACATAAATCTGTATCCAGGCAGCATTATGGCTCCTCCAAAACATTAACCAATGCAAATTAGTTACATACAAGTGTAATTCATACACTAGGAGACGGGGCTCTCTCTGGAGATTCCTTGGCGCCTGAGAAGAAGAGCAATTAAGTTAAAAACGATTTGAGTAATGCAGCTTGAACAGCAGCAGCGGAGCAAAGGACCACGGCGCTGTAGTGCAGGAACTGGACGGACGATAGCAGGTGAAATATGAGGAGGCCTGAGGAGACTCAGATACAGTAAGGGTAGCCAGATAGGATGTGATCTCACACTGTGGGGTTCATGTAACGCAGCAGAGTGGGCAGCTGAAACGCTGGAGAGCCGCGATGCCTTCAGTGTCTCGTGGGAGTGGCGTAATTTACATTACTTCTGTAAAAGTCTGGGCAGGACGGGAGTGAGAGATGGAAACAGGAGGGTGAACAGGGATTCACTCACGCAGCAAAGAACAAGGCTTAAAACCTCACAGTTAACATTAAGGATCGTTAGGTTCCTGTAGCGGCAGAGACACCGAGTTAATGAAAAAACATTCGATCATGAGCATCAGCGCTGGCACACAGCTGGAAACTGCCCAAACACATGACGTATTGTTTCTTAAGCTTATTTTACACTTGAATTTCAGAGCTGGAGACAAGAGAGAGAGAGACCTAGAAGAAGACAGAGAGAGAGAGGGTGGAGAGGATAATGTGGGCAGAAGCTGCACTGGGATGTGTTCAGGATCTAGTGGGACGGCTCTAATCTACATTAGACCTACATTACATGGCCGAGCTGCTGGTTAGAGCATCACATCATCGAGTGGATGTTTTTTACTGTATGTGCACAGTAGAAGAACTGAACAAGGTGGAAGGGAGGGAGGGAAGGAGGGAGGGATGAAGAGAAAGAGTGAGAGACAAGTGGGTGGATGTGATGCAGGGACACAAGATGCATTCAGGGTCCTGTGGGATGGAGCAGATTTACATTAGGCTGCTCAGGCCAGGAGACAAAGTGAGAGAAGTAGGGAGCCAAACAACAAGGGAGGAAGGGGTGGAGAACAGAGAAAGATGGCGGAGGTACAGTAGGTGTACAGACAGGCAGACTACCTGTAGGAGATCTTTTTATCTCTCCACTTCTGCCCTGTCAGAGCGTAGCGTTTATTCCTCTGCCGGCGGCTGGTGTGAGGATGATCTGGGACGCCACAGCGAGGTCTCCTCATCCACCTGTGGATGCACACATTCCCTTTTTAGACATTTCTGAGGACTCAGTACTTTCAGTCATACCACGGAGGCCGAGCAGTACATGACTTATCTGTTGGCAATAAAGTTATGGCAGATTATTGTCTTGATTAGTCCGTGAATTTGTTTGATGTATAAAAGGTAAAGAAAGTTCCTGAACTTGACGTTGGTGCCATCTGATTGTTCATTTTGTCTGACAGATAACACATTCAGTGTGTTCTCACCTAACATGAGTAAGAAATGCAGCAAATGTCTCATTTCCACTCTGCACTAAAGCCTTCACACATGCCACATGAATAAACTGGAACCTGTGTTTCATAGACTACAGCTGTGTGTGTCCGTTCACTCCTGTGAACAGCTGCTGGGTGATCCTCAGCGTGTGCATGTGCCCTCTGAGGCCGTGGACATGCACAGCTCAACAGGAAAACAGCGACAGAAGTAAGAAAAGTGGCGAGCAGACGACACATCGGCCTTTTAAATCAGGAAGAGTGTTTCATTCTGGAGGGAAATTGGTTCCTGTTCTCGTGGACAGTAGGATGCTGTTTGTTTTCTACTAGCAGTGTTTGCACTAAATTTCAAGGTAATCCATCCAACAGTTGAGACATTTCCATTTTACATTGTTGGAAATCTTTGTTCAGACCTTCACCAGCACAGACTGGAGTTCAACAAGTTCAGCCGCGACCGAGCTGTAGGCTGAAGCTACATATGAGGCCAATTAGAGCCTATATATAAATGTACCACCTGTGTAGCCTTTAACCATGACTGTCGTCTCAAAAGGTCTCGTAGCTCTCATGAAATCATGTTCCTGAAGACAAAGACTGCTCACACAAAGCAGAACTGTCTATAGAAGCCACACTATATTTTACACCGAGGGGCATTGGGTTGAAATTCAAAGCTGAAACAAACAATATATTTGAATGAACTGGATGTTTGTGTGTAACGGGCTGCCTGTAGCGACAAAGCACAGAGACTCTGCAGCTCTGCCACCGTTTGGTTTCACAGCCTGGAACCAAAAGTTTGTGTCACAGTTCAGTCAGTCATTCATTAATTCAGTCACCTGATGCTTCCCCACCTCTCGCTCACCTGTCCCCATTCACTCGTCTCCAGCTCAGGTTCCCTTGTTCCCTGCCAGATTGTCTTCAGTCATCATGGCTTTCCAGCCTCGTACCTGCTCTAGTTTGTGCCCTTTGCCTGGTCCCGTGGAGCGTCTGGACTGTACATTTGACCGTTTACTGACCATGTCCTGTGTTTCCCTGCCTGCCGTCTCTGCCTTTAATACAGGTGAACTGTAGAGAGCCCAGTCTTGGTCTGAGACAGTTATGGTTCACTCTCACCGCTCTCCGAGTATCGTTTTCGGCCACAGCAGGCAGCTGTTTTCAGCTGATAAACCTATTGTCCACTACCTGCTCAGCAGCAGACACACACAGTTAGAGGCTGGCGGTGAACACAGGGGAGCATTTAGCAGCTAGAGAGCCAGACAGTTCAAGGTTTGGGACCAAGAGGGAACATGGGACTAACTGAAAAATACAGAAATGTTGCTCTGCTCCATAGTAGAAAGGAAACCGTATGGGAGCAGGTTCATTAACATCGACTTGACGGCGATGATGTGTCGATGTTGTGTTCGCTGTTACACAAGGCCTGTACACATGGTGTAGTGGCAGCAAACTGTAATTTATAACACCAACGTCAGTGCCACCGGGTCGGAGAGCCAGCGCTCACCACAGTGAATGCTGTTGTGTTGTGGGCATTTTCTCGACACCTGACTCCTACAGCTGCTGCTCCTATTCTCAAAAATAGTTCTTGTTTTGTAAATTATCACCAGATCGTGTCTCGCAGTCACTCCTTCTGCTGGGACTCTGGAACAAAGTCACAGACTCATGACTGTACACGTTAGATTACATTTAAACCATGCAGGAGCTCGATGACGTCCAGAACTGGGAGTCAGACCCTCTTAAATGACTAAGCATGTTCCTGCTACAGTAGAAGTGATAACAGAGCTTTTCCCCTTTCCTTAAAGCAAGTCGTGAGTCAGTGCTATCACAGTTGAGATGTTGTCTGAGAAGATGGGACACAACCGGTGACCTCAGCAGCTCTACCCACCACTGCAGAGCCAGGACAGACAAAACACGCCACTGGACTCACTC